AAAGAAGTTATACTCACTACTTCTCTTAAAACCAGGGAAAACTCAACTACTAACAACTATCACTAAAAATTAGGATTACTTTTGGCATGGATAACAACTTAAGCAGGAGCATTATTTGAAAGGAAATAAATAAAAAAAACAATAAAAACAATCACGTAACAACAAACAACTAATATTACCTTGGAGCAACTCAGGTCATTGAGTACTAATGCCTAAATATGGCAATAGGAAGCAACCAGAACACATCATAAGTAAAAAATTCCGCTGTTAGCAGTTCCCCTCATTTCATGTCATTCTAAATTTAAGGTTTAGGAAATTCGAAGAATCACAAGAGCATCCGTAAAAACAAAAACATGACCGAAAACAGAGCTATGACCAGAGAAGATGACATAGACATTAGATATCAGTTACCATGACAAATCAGTAGATTATGTACAATAGATAATATCGTTATTTCAAAACATGCCTGTATTGAAGACACTACCATTTTTCAGGTTATTTGCTTCGTAATCCCCTCTGCTTCTAATTAGCTCAACCTCAATTGTCTGTTCCCATAATCCTTGCATATCAAATATGTTTTGATCAAACCACATAGCATTGTAGACACAAATAATCCTTGTCCAACATTATATAATTAAGAACAAAATTATATAATTAATCACATAGCATTGTTTTTAGAAAATACAAGAAAATGTGCAACTGAATTACCTATGTCGGACATATTTTTTCGAACAGCTAAAATAAAATTAATCACTCATTTATAGTATGAATTTTATTATAAGATTGGAAGACTTTTTTTAAATTTTGTATCTTTATTTTTCAACTAATAAGAATACATCATGTACAAAATTATGTTATTTTTTATTTTTTTATAATTTTAATATTTGTTAATTAATATTTATAAAATAATTCAATTTAAAAAATGGCAGTGAGTGGAGTAAAGATAATCTAAATATAAAATAGCAGTAAATCAAGTTGTACTATCTGAAGTGATCTGAATCAAACAATAGGGACCACGTGATCAGTTTGGCCTTCAATCAACTCAAGTGGACGTTCGAACGTGGTACTCAAGTACCTCAGGGTCCTGGTGCTTGACTACAACACACTGTCTTAACAGGCTGGTTTTGTCATGGTTCCAGTGGACGTTTGAACGTTGATCCACGTTCGAACGTTCTTACTTTGTGCCAATCTTTTCCAATTTTTCCCCTTAATCCATTGGTGTTACATCCAAGTGTGATATTTGTTGTCCTTGAGCTCTTGATCACTTTAGAACCTGAAATGTCATTACTTAAACTTCATCAAAGCACAATTAGTCCCAAAAAGGCATAGTAAAGTGCTAACTTTAAGCATTAATCACCTTCCACTATAAATACTTAAGGACACCTCCTTTAGCCCCATTTCAACATCTCTAACCCTAGAAAACCTTATAGAGGAAGAAAGGAAGAGAAAAAAACTCAAGATTGAGATGGATTTACACTTCAAAGAAGATCAATACGACAAGTTTTTTAAGAACACCCTTCTCCACCCATTGTCCTCTATTCTTTCACTTCACTCTCACTCAAACCTCTTAGAACCCTGGGAGAAGATAAGAAGGGAACAAGAAAAGGGAGGAAAAGAGTCGCTAGATCTTGGGTTAGCTTGAAAATTTGGATTCAAGGTAGGAGTTTCTTCCTATTCTGTTACATTGAGGCTAGGACTTATATATATATATATGTGTGTGTGCTTTTTAACTCTAAGTCATACATGTATGCTATAAAATCTTTGATTTTTTCTATTCTTGCAATTAGTACCATGTTTTAAACAATGTTATGGTTGGGTAGCCGGTTCCCATGGCTATGCACGTGCATATCTGTACAAGGAATATTCCCTGCCCCACACAGATTTTTGAAAGAAAAGTAGTTGTATTTTTCCAAGAAGAGCAATTTTCAACTACCTTACTGAAAATGGTAAACAACAACTTTGTCCTTTTCTTCCTTTTAACTCCGCCGCCTAATTGTAGACACTGGTCATACTTGTAATGGCAAACGTTGTAATTTAATAACACTTTTGCACCTTACAATATCTTTAAAATTTTAACTTATACACTTGTAAAAGGATTCGCCCCGAAACCAAGGGTACTAACTAACAACTGAGTCCTCTTTGAACCGCAGGAGATATTTGCACATCATACAGCTCACCAACTTCACTTGTTTCTATGGGGGGCTTGCTCCGACAAGTTCAAATCAATTACAATATATTAAAGTAATTTTATATATTACACCTGCAATTATATAAAAATATAATAATATAATCCAAAACTAATAGTTTATTCGATAGAAGGAATCAAAAATAAGAGCAATGAAATAATTAGGAGAAATAGATGATTCATTCATCGAACTTCAAATTCCTACTATCATAACCATCCCTGGTGAAAGCATTTGCCTAGCGGCAAATAAGAAACTTTAGGCAAACATTACAACTGTCCTTTTCTATACAATTGCAGACTTGATGCTTTTTGAGTCTGATGTCTTTTTCAAACTCTTTATAATGATTTTTGATTTTTTTTTAACTTTAACTATTAGTTCAAGTGATAAACAATTTTTGACCCTTTATCAAAAAATGGGTCCAAACAAATCTGACTCAAAATACACTTGTAGCTGCATGAATCCGACACAATAAATATAAATATATTTAGACCTAACGACTCTAGATACGATATGTGCATCGGATAGAAAATTAAAACAAAGTTAGCTAGTTTGAATATAATATTAATGAGTTTGGTTAGTGAATGGATGGACGCACTATACGTGTCAAAAAATAGATCGAAACAAATCCGACTCAAAATAGATTTATAGCGGCATGAATCTGACACAAACACGAACCCGACAAATGACAATAGATGGTTGCAAGACAGTGGTTTAATAAGTTCGTTCCAGAAGGTTTTGTTCTCATTTTGTTGCATGGGTTTTTGACAAAACAAAAAATCAACAGAACAACAAACACCCTAAATCAATGGTCTGTATCTCTGACAGTTCACAAAGAAATGTGTACCTGATACAATGCATATGACTTCTAATATGGATATGTCATTTTAAAACTCAGGCCCTACCAGATATGCCTTTATACTCAGGCCCTACCACTAATGCCTTTATATCACTAGTGCTTTTGGAATTCCCAGACCCTTATATCTTGCATACCAAATATCCTTCTGGTATAGAAATGCTTACCTAAATCCCGGGCATGAAGAAAATATTTAATATAACCCCGGTACCACATCATTATTACACGTGCTGTCACCGACTCACCAAACCAACCAATCATAAACAAGCAAATACGGCTCGGGAACCCCAGTTAATTCAATAACCACCAATAACTCTTGGAGATTGGGAAGGACTTCTATGTTTGGTTTTTTACAAATAAATTATTTTTATTACTGAAAAAAATAATGCATTCAGTTCAAAACACACCCTAAAGAGCATACAGAGCAACCTCAAAGAAAATTGCTCAAACTCAACCTAGGCCACTGAAATAGTATCACTTTCACAACCCAAGATACTGATGCACCATATCCAAACCACTTTTGAATAGGGTATTAAGAAGTATATTTTTTGATATCATACTTCTTTTTTTTTTTTTTTTCAACTACAATATTAAAAGTGTAAAACTCTATTATTTAATTATTTTGGCTTATTTTATTAGTTTGAAGACCATTAACTATAAATAACTTAAACTAAAACCCACCACCATAGCCATATCAAAATTGTTGTGCACCTCCATTAGAGCAGTAATACCAGTTGTCTTGGAAACTTGAATGGGCAGTCAACTTGAGCCAATAATAAACCATAACTTTTTGACTTCTATGATCATGCAATACCTAAATTGTCAATGGATTTTGTACGTTTGTGCTAGGCTGCTTTCTTTTACCAGGGATGCATGTTACTTTATGAGCATGCATGTATGGTGGATGTTAAAATGCTTCAAACTCCATATATCAACTACTCTGCGACAATGTTTTGTTAGATTTTTACATTTAGCTTCTACAACCTGTACTTAGTGAAAGACAGAAGGATCTGAATTTCAACCTGTACTTAGTGATATAAATATATGTATGTGTGTGTGTGTGTGGTCATCCGGTAATATCTCTAGAATGTTCAGAACAAGATTTTTTTTTTTTTTCTTTTTTGTGCTTGTGTTTTTGTAAAGAAGAAGATGATAAAAGAAACTTTGGTATGGTTACATGTGGGTGATAGATCACATGTCAACCGCGGCCTCTATTTGATTACAAAAGCCCCCGAGATGATAAAATATTCAATGAATTAGTGATAACACGTTTTCAGTAGTATGTCATATTATTAACTAGTAATAAAATCTCTTATAAATCTTGTGAGTTCTACTTAATTCAATAAGTATGAATAATGACCACCTACACAAACTACTATACTTGATTATTGGGGTTTACCAAACTTAGATGATGTTATTTTATTAATTAGTAATAATACGTGTGGATGAGAAGGGATATCACTATTTCTTCGAATTTTTAATCAAGCAATATTTTGCATATGGCCTCAAAATTCCCAAGAAAGATGACATCACTATGTGCATTTTCCTTATATTATTTTATTTACATATCCATTAATGGAAAGTAAGCTGAAATCTAAGGCATAAACATCATTAAATTAGTTGTTTGTGCCGTACAATTATTATAGTGACTATGAGAGGATTAGCTGTTGGATAAAGACCTTGTATGGCTGCTATCGTCAGTGAGTTTTCTTCTTTTGTTTCTTTTTTTTTTTTTTGGATAAATAAAGTGGGGGTTGGTTTGAATTATTTGTTTCAACTATGTTCAATCATAGTAGATATTTTTATCTTGGTGTGACATCAAAATATAGCCTAGTGAGGTACATAAAAGGACGTCAGAAGACCACGTGAGCCAAACTAACCATTTATCGACTATAAAATGGCTTTGCACTCAAATGCAAAACCATCAAGTATAGCGAAACAAGAAGTAAAAGCAATTCTCTGTTTCTCCCAGAACCTCACTTCACTGCTTTACTAGTAGCATACTCTATCTCTCTCTATCGATCGATCTCTCACTTACTCACACATACACAACGTAAATGGTCCATAAGAGAACAGGACTTCATTTCTACTCATGCATTTATCTTTTTCCTCATATTCACAAATTAATACTAATCTATCTTCCTTTCTTCAGGTTTGGGAACTTGGAGAGAAATGGAACCAAAATTTATGTGCTTTACAAAAGAATCTCTCACGAGATCAGATGTGCAGCGTAACTTAGAGATACCTAACGCTGCGTCTTTCTTGCAACCCGAGAATGAGATCATGTTTGTACGTGACCAAGCTGGAACCACGTATCAGTTTATAGCATCAGAGAGGAAAGGAGGGCGAAAGGCTCTGACGCGCGACTGGCATGACTTCGCCGTGGCAAAGAATCTTCAAGTTGGTGACTCTCTGAGAATTTATTGGTCCGGGAATGAGAATGAATATGTGGTGCAGTTAGGCACCAAACTCTTTGGAGATCACATAGTTTGGCTACAAGAATAAGTTCCACTGCATGAAATTATTTTTATGGGTCTGTGCATGTAAGGTGAGGTTCTCTCGAATATATACATATTTTTTTTCTATTTCTTACTTAGTAAATTATTTATCGTTCATGTAAGTAAGACTCATTATATATATGTGGGTTTTTACTAACATACGATAGATGGTCTACCAAGTCGGAAAATAAGAAAAAAAAAAAAGTATTCGAGGAATCTTGATCTAGTGTATATTGAATTTGCTGTCTTCTTTCTTTTCTTTTTTTGTTATTTTGTTTGGGTTTTCATGTTTGATGTGGATAAGGTAATGCCGGCTCCTAGTTGCTGTCTGTGTTCTTTTCAAAATAAAAGTTGCCGTCTGTGTGAAGTCAATGAAACTGTGTCATTTAGTCGACATTTCTCCTCTTTGTCAAAACAAGTGGGAATGAAAATAGAAATTTCATCATGGTTGCAGTTACATTTAACAAGGGCAATGAAACATTATTGAATCAAGCTTGCTTTTATTTATTTTCACCGATGAACAAAAAAAAATAATGACTGGCTAGAACGAGGGGCCTTCACATCTAGCCTAGTCAAAAGAATTGAATTTCATCCGATTTGAATTCGAATAACTTAATTAAAATTTTATTTTCACCCAATTTTATCGAATAATCACAAATTTATATCATATTTAACATACACATGAAATTCTAATTGGATCAAATATTGATATGTCTAAATATAAATTCGTAAAATATAGCGTAACGAATTTTCAATTGAATTCAAATAATGAATTGAAAATATCAGTTCGTCTTTAACTAATCATATTCAGAATCTAAGTAGATTTAGGCAGAAATTCAATCTATTAATAGGCATATACATATTCATCACAAGTGATAAGAATAAGCGAAGTTGAGGTTGGCATGGTAATGACATCGAGTGATATTAGGATTGGTCAAATTTGACATTCGGTTCTTTGTCGGGGATTGGTAAGTTAGAGAATTGACACATTATTATAAATAAAGGGTTTTCAAGGACTAAATTGAAATCGGATATTCAACCGTGAGGGATTCTCATAGTCACACCTAGGTGTTTATTACTTACAGGTCGCCTCCCTTTCCTTGTTACCTGACCCAATAAAGAAATTTATAAAATTGAAAGTATCATTGTAATTGATTATATCTTCGAAAACTCGTTCGTTTCGGTATAATATTTTCACTTTTCAATTAATACAAATATGAAACAGCTATAATTTTTTATTTCATAATTATTATTATTTTTTTTCAATGAATCATTATAAATTATTAAATTCAAAATGAATAGTTAAAATTGATAGGGATGTGATGAATATGTATATGCATGCCGTCAATTCCGTAACCGTACTCAAAATTTTAACACCTTTTTTGTTGAAAAGGACAATGAATGTCCATTCGAATGGCTTTATTGACCAAACCATGTTATATCCAGGGTGGATTCTAGCCGCCTCTTATCCAAACAAAAGTCTAATTTTAGAAACTATAAATAAATATCATATGTCTTAAATAAATTAATTCCGATTGACTGCCAGATAATGCTGATTGTGACCACAATTAGCTTGATCCACACACCCGGAAATATATCAACACTCAAATATATCAAGTTTGTTATCTAAAACTTCAACAATACTTTTTTTTTAAGTTCCATGATCATAAGTGTCCGAGCCAACTTATAGAACATTTCGACTAACTTATAGAATTTTGAACCGAAGGATTAATCGTTACTAGTTGTAGCAATGTGGTTCACTAAACTTCTTCAACGTATCTGGGATCAAATCTAAATGTTTGTCAGATTGTGTACAAGAATCTTTAGACTAGATTACCACTTGTCACTTGTGGTGCTGGCCATATTATTATTCTGGGACCACTTGTCACATGTGGTGTTGGCCATATTATTATTCTGGGACCACTTGTCACATGTGGTGTTGGCCATATTATTATTCTGGGACCAGTCCAACGTTGTAATGCCCCATATATATATATATAATGTACTACAACTGCCGAGTTTAATATAATCCTATGCAGTTCACTACAGACCCAAAAAGTAAAAATCTAGGGGACAAAGCAGTGCTAATATATCTTAAACACAATTATTTTAATTTAATTTATTGACCTAAATCTCTTGGATAATATTAACTATATAAACAGAGAATCGAAAACAAGAAAGTTCTTTTTAAGAAAAAATCACAATTGCATTGAGGAAGGACTTTGCTTCATTCTAATCATCAAGCACCGACTTCAATTTTTTGATTTATTGGAATCTAGTGATCTGAAATATACTTGAAGTTTAGTGGCTTCTTTAACCATCAACCACCCCAACCTAACTAGCACACATACACATATCATCAGTTATTTTATTATTATGTACGTGGCATATCACTATAGGCAACCGACCTACTTGCCTATTTGCCATTATCAAAAGACAAAAGATTCGACAATTCAAACTGAAAATGAATGCATTGAAAGTAGACTAATGACAAGATCGAAGAAAATTAAGCTCAAGACACAGCTGTATGATGAGGTGGTTCCTTGAGAAAAGATTGGCTATCTACTGAAGCTTTGACCAACCATTGACGATCAATCCTGGAGTGCCACTTGTCTTGAAACTAAGCCAAATGGTTGCTGGATACTCTACAGGAACTGGAGAACATAAAGTTAACATATAATACAAAAATGTCAATGGACACTGTATGTTTGTGTTTGTGATTGGATCCTTTATTTTATGAGGCATGCAAGCATGTGACTTTATGAGCATGCATGCATGGTGAGTGGACCTGAAAAATGCTTCACACGGCAAACATCAACTACTCTGCCAAAATCTTTTGGTGGGTTCTTGAATTATTTTCCTTCTAGAACCTCCACTCTACATTCCTGGAATGAATCTGCAATTCAAGTTAGGAACAGTGATCAGCAGTTTGTATATCTAGATTGTTCAGGAGAAGAAGATGAAAGAAGCCTTGCTATGCTCACATGCGGGTGATAGATAACATGCCACCCACCCACTACATCTATTGGACTGCTAAAACCCAAGAAAAAATACACGAAAATAGAACAACATGGTCAACATGATTGTTTGGACTAAATTCTTTGTGGAGATCAACAATTTATATTACTAATGAATAACAAAATAATATAATAATTAATTCAATAATTACTACTAATGACCACATGCAATAATTAGGATAATGCATTAGTGAGATGTATTACATTTATGTGGTGTTTTACTATTAAAAGGTCATATCAGTTGTAAATAAAAACACATTATCACCATTCATATTTATTAAAAACAATATTTGGCAAATGACGTCAAAATTCCCAAGGTGGATGGCATCACTTTGTTTTTGCTCTCCTTTGACTGAACAATGGTTGGTAAACATCAAGATCATTCTGTATGAGTGGTGACCCAAGTAGTGTATATATATATATATAGGGAAAGTAATCTGAAATCTAGACACAAATATTATTTAATTGTTTGGGCCGTACAATTATTACAGTGACAATGAGAGGATAGAGGATTAGCTGTTAAGAGAACTAGGCCTCATTGTCTGCTCATGGTTTTTATCTTTTTCTTCATAGTCACAGATTATTACTACAAGGTTTGAGAACTTGAGAGAAATGTAGCCTGAATTTCCGTGTTTTATAAAAACACTCACGGAATTGGATGTCGAGCGTAAATTAAAGATATCTAACGGGTCACTATTTTTCATGGCCAATGATGAGCTCATGCTTGTACGTGATTGAGCCGGAACGACATATTAGTTCCGAGCATTGGAGAGGAGAGGAGAGGAGGGAAGCGGTCTTTGNGAGAGAAATGTAGCCTGAATTTCCGTGTTTTATAAAAACACTCACGAAATTGGATGTCGAGCGTAAATTAAAGATATCTAACGGGTCACTATTTCTCACGGCCAATGATGAGCTCATGCTTGTACGTGATTGAGCCGGGACGACATATTAGTTCCGAGCATTGGAGAGGAGAGGAGAGGAGGGAAGCGGTCTTTGACGCTCAACTGGCNGGCCAATGATGAGCTCATGCTTGTACGTGATTGAGCCGGAACGACATATTAGTTCCGAGCATTGGAGAGGAGAGGAGAGGAGGGAAGCGGTCTTTGACGCTCAACTGGCATACCTTTTCTGTGGCAAAGGATCTTGAAGTCGGCGATGGTCTGAGAATTTACTGGCTAGGGAATGGGAAAGAATATGTGGCGTTGATTGGCACAAAACACTTTGGACCTCACATAGGTTGGCTATCAAACTTCCACAGCATAAATTCCTTCTATGGGGCCATCAGTGTAAATGTATGTCACAATAAAGACCAACATATTAAGACAAGTTGGTTCATTAAATTGCTATGTTTTCATATCTTTTTTTTTTTCTTTGGTTNATATTAAGACAAGTTGGTTCATTAAATTGCTATGTTTTCATATCTTTTTTTTTTCTCTGTTTTTTTTTTAATTATTCAAATAAAATTTCAACAGTTTATTGTCAGACTCAACGACCTACATAATCATTGGAGAAAATTTTGGTGATTCGTGCAATACCCCACTAAGCAGACACACCAATTAAATCACAGGGGTTATACTTTGGGTAAGTGGCCTTAGGACTCAAAATGAAGACCTCTTGTTTGCCTTATTAAAAGTTTTATCATTTGAGTGGACCTTTCGAGTTTTGTGTATTAAATTATTATAAGATTCACATACCTTGTGTTAACTGTTATTATAAAGAGAACATGACACATAATATTTATTTTATTTTTTAATAACACAAGCACTACATGAGCTCAAAATATCAAGATGCTAACATATTTTCTTCTTTTTATTAGTCCCTTTGTTCCATAATTACAGATTTTCCTTCTCTTTTACATCTCGTAAAATTGTATTCTTATTCAAAAGTATTTATGGAATCCGGTTTTGCTGGATATCCTAAAGTTTTATTCCAATTCAAAAAAGTTTAATTCACTTGTAATTTGATGGCTAATGGTTGAGCTTGACAATAATACAAACTGAATGTAATATAGATTAATCAATAAAGGCATTTGGATGGACAATTATTGTCCTTTCATTGAAGAGACGGTGATAATATAGATAAGGTTACAGGACTGATTTTGAATAGAATGAACAGCAATCATTGATTGATTCAACAATGCTTGGCTGCTCTTGTTAATGATTGGCTCATTTTCATTTTTATTTTCATTCCCACTTGTCTTTGGCAAAGACGGTGAAATGTCGGCTAAATGGGATACTTGTCGTACGGATTCCATGTGTACAGCCACAAATTTTTGTTCCTCTATGTGGGAAGCTGTCGTACGGACATATATGTCCTAATCGAGAAAACGGTGCCATTGTGGTCCCCTGGTGTTTGTCGTATCAGATTAAGCTAATTGTAGTCACAATCAGCATTATCTGGCAATCCATCTGAATTAATTTATTTAAGACATACGATATTTATTTATAGTTTCTAAAATTAGACTTTTGTTTGGATAAGAGGCGGCTAGAATCGACCCTGGATATAACATGGTTTGGTCAATAAAGCCATTCGAATGGACATTCATTGTCCTTTTCAACAAAAAAGGTGTTAAAATTTTGAGTACGGTTACGGAATTGATAGCATATACATATTCATCACATCTCTATCAATTTTAACTATTCATTTCGAATTTAATGANGGGATTGACGGCATGCATATACATATTCATCACATCCCTATCAATTTTAACTATTCATTTTGAATTTAATAATTTATAATGATTCATTGAAAAAAAATAATAATAATTATGAAATAAAAAATTATAGCTGTTTCATATTTGTATTAATTGAAAAGTGAAAATATTATACCGAAACGAACGAGTTTTCGAAGATATAATCAATTACAATGATACTTTCAATTTTATAAATTTCTTTATTGGGTCAGGTAACAAGGAAAGGGAGGCGACCTGTAAGTAATAAACACCTAGGTGTGACTATGAAAATCCCTCACGGTTGAATATCCGATTTCAATTTCGTCCTTGAAAACCCTTTATTTATAATAATGTGTCAATTCTCTAACTTACCAATCCTCGACAAAGAACCGAATGTCAAATTTGACCAATCCTAATATCACTCGATGTCATTACCATGCCAACCTCAACTTCACTTATTCTTATCACTTGTGATGAATATGTATATGCCTATTAATAGATTGAATTTCTGCCTAAATCTACTTAGATTCTGAATATGATTAGTTAGAGACAAACTGATATTTTCAATTCATTATTTGAATTCAATTGAAAATTCGTTATGCTATATTTTACGAATTTATATTTAGACATATCAATATTTGATCCAATTAGAATTTCATGTGTATGTTAAATATGATATAAATTTGTGATTATTCGATAAAATTGGGTGAAAATAAAATTTTAATTAAGTTATTCGAATTCAAATCGGATGAAATTCAATTCTTTTGACTAGGCTAGATGTGAAGGCCCCTCGTTCTAGCCAGTCATTATTTTTTTTTGTTCATCGGTGAAAATAAATAAAAGCAAGCTTGATTCAATAATGTTTCATTGCCCTTGTTAAATGTAACTGCAACCATGATGAAATTTCTATTTTCATTCCCACTTGTTTTGACAAAGAGGAGAAATGTCGACTAAATGACACAGTTTCATTGACTTCACACAGACGGCAACTTTTATTTTGAAAAGAACACAGACAGCAACTAGGAGCCGGCATTACCTTATCCACATCAAACATGAAAACCCAAACAAAATAACAAAAAAAGAAAAGAAAGAAGACAGCAAATTCAATATACACTAGATCAAGATTCCTCGAATACTTTTTTTTTTCTTATTTTCCGACTTGGTAGACCATCTATCGTATGTTAGTAAAAACCCACATATATACAATGAGTCTTACTTAAATGAACGATAAATAATTTACTAAGTAAGAAATAGAAAAAAAACATGTATATATTCGAGAGAACCTCACCTTACATGCACAGCCCCATAAAAATAATTTCATGCAGTGGAACTTATTCTTGTAGCCAAACTATGTGATCTCCAAAGAGTTTGGTGCCTAACTGCACCACATATTCATTCTCATTCCCTGACCAATAAATTCTCAGAGAGTCACCAACTTGAAGATTCTTTGCCACGGCAAAGTCATGCCAGTCGCGCGTCAGAGCCTTTCGCCCTCCTTTCCTCTCTGATGCTATAAACTGATACGTGGTTCCAGCTTGGTCACGTACAACCATGATCTCATTCTCGGGTTGCAAGAAAGACGCAGCGTTAGGTATCTCTAAGTTACGCTGCACATCTGATCTCGTGAGAGATTCTTTTGTAAAGCACATAAATTTTGGTTCCATTTCTGTCCAAGTTCCCAAACCTGAAGAAAGGAAGATAGATTAGTATTAATTTGTGAATATGAGGAAAAAGATAAATGCATGAGTAGAAATGAAGTCCTGTTCTCTTATGGACCATTTACGTTGTGTATGTGTGAGTAAGTGAGAGATCGATCGATAGAGAGAGATAGAGTATGCTACTAGTAAAGCAGTGAAGCGAGGTTCTGGGAGAAACAGAGAATTGCTTTACTTCTTGTTTCGCTATACTTGATGGTTTTGCATTTGAGTGCAAAGCCATTTTATAGTCGATAAATGGTTAGTTTGGCTCACGTGGTTTTCTGACGTCCTTTTATGTACCTCACTAGGCTATATTTTGATGTCACACCAAGATAAAAATATCTACTATGATTGAACATAGTTGAAACAAATAATTCAAACCAACCCCCACTTTATTTATCCAAAAAAAAAAAAAAGAAACAAAAGAAGAAAACTCACTGACGATAGCAGCCATACAAGGTCTTTATCCAACAGCTAATCCTCTCATAGTCACTATAATAATTGTACGGCACAAACAACTAATTTAATGATGTTTATGCCTTAGATTTCAGCTTACTTTCCATTAATGGATATGTAAATAAAATAATATAAGGAAAATGCACATAGTGATGTCATCTTCCTTGGGAATTTTGAGGCCATATGCAAAATATTGTTTGATTAAAAATTCGAAGAAATAGTGATATCCCTTCTCATCCACACGTATTATTACTAATTAATAAAATAACATCATCTAAGTTTGGTAAACCCCAATAATCAAGTATAGTAGTTTGTGTAGGTGGTCATTATTCATACTTATTGAATTAAGTAGAACTCACAAGATTTATAAGAGATTTTATTACTAGTTAATAATATCACATACTACTGAAAACGTGTTATCACTAATTCATTGAATATTTTATCATCTCGGGGGCTTTTGTAATCAAATAGAGGCCGCGGTTGACATGTGATCTATCACCCACATGTAACCATACCAAAGTTTCTNGTTATCACTAATTCATTGAATATTTTATCATCTCGGGGGCTTTTGTAATCAAATAGAGGCCGCGGTTGACATGTGATCTGTCACCCACATGTAACCATACCAAAGCTTCTTTTATCATCTTCTGCTTTACAAAAACACAAGCACAAAAAAGANCATTTGAGTGCAAAGCCATTTTATAGTCGATAAATGGTTAGTTTGGCTCACGTGGTTTTCTGACGTCCTTTTATGTACCTCACTAGGCTATATTTTGATGTCACACCAAGATAAAAATATCTACTATGATTGAACATAGTTGAAACAAATAATTCAAACCAACCCCCACTTTATTTATCCAAAAAAAAAAAAAAGAAACAAAAGAAGAAAACTCACTGACGATAGCAGCCATACAAGGTCTTTATCCAACAGCTAATCCTCTCATAGTCACTATAATAATTGTACGGCACAAACAACTAATTTAATGATGTTTATGCCTTAGATTTCAGCTTACTTTCCATTAATGGATATGTAAATAAAATAATATAAGGAAAATGCACATAGTGATGTCATCTTCCTTGGGAATTTTGAGGCCATATGCAAAATATTGTTTGATTAAAAATTCGAAGAAATAGTGATATCCCTTCTCATCCACACGTATTATTACTAATTAATAAAATAACATCATCTAAGTTTGGTAAACCCCAATAATCAAGTATAGTAGTTTGTGTAGGTGGTCATTATTCATACTTATTGAATTAAGTAGAACTCACAAGATTTATAAGAGATTTTATTACTAGTTAATAATATCACATACTACTGAAAACGTGTTATCACTAATTCATTGAATATTTTATCATCTCGGGGGCTTTTGTAATCAAATAGAGGCCGCGGTTGACATGTGATCTATCACCCACATGTAACCATACCAAAGTTTCTTTTATCATCTTCTTCTTTACAAAAACACAAGCACAAAAAAAAAAAAAAAAAAAAATCTTGTTCTGAACATTCTAGAGATATTACCGGATGAGCACACACACACACACACATACATATATTTATATCACTAAGTACAGGTTGAAATTCAGATCCTTCTGTCTTTCACTAAGTACAGGTTGTAGAAGCTAAATGTAAAAATCTAACAAAACATTGTCGCAGAGTAGTTGATATATGGAGTTGGNGTTGAAATTCAGATCCTTCTGTCTTTCACTAAGTACAGGTTGTAGAAGCTAAATGTTAAAATCTAACAAAACATTGTCGCAGAGTAGTTGATATATGGAGTTTGAAGCATTTTAACATCCACCATACATGCATGCTCATAAAGTAACATGCATCCCTGGTAAAAGAAAGCAGCCTAGCACAAACGTACAAAATCCATTGACAATTTAGGTATTGCATGATCATAGAAGTCAAAAAGTTATGGTTTATTATTGGCTCAAGTTGACTGCCCATTCAAGTTTCCAAGACAACTGGTATTACTGCTCTAATGGAGGTGCACAACAATTTTGATATGGCTATGGTGGTGGGTTTTAGTTTAAGTTATTTATAGTTAATGGTCTTCAAACTAATAAAATAAGCCAAAATAATTAAATAATAGAGTTTTACACTTTTAATATTGTAGTTGAACTAAAAAAAAAAAAGAAGTATGATATCAAAAAATATACTTCTTAATACCCTATTCAAAAGTGGTTTGGATAAGGTGCATCAGTATCTTGGGTTGTGAAAGTGATACTATTTCAGTGGCCTAGGTTGAGTTTGAACAATTTTCTTTGAGGTTGCTCTGTATGCTCTTTAGGGTGTGTTTTGAACTGAATGCATTAATTTTTTCAGTAATAAAAATAATTTATTTGTAAAAAACAAAACATAGAAGTCCTTCCCAATCTCCAAGAGTTATTGGTGGTTATTGAATTAACTGGGGTTCCCGAGCCGTATTTGCTTGTTTATGATTGGTTGGTTTGGTGAGTCGGTGACAGCACGTGTAATAATGATGTGGTACCGGGGTTATATTAAATATTTTCTTCATGCCCGGGATTTAGGTAAGCATTTCTATACCAGAAGGATATTTGGTATGCAAGATATAAGGGTCTGGGAATTCCAAAAGCACTAGTGATATAAAGGCATTAGTGGTAGGGCCTGAGTTTTAAAATGACATATCCATATTACAAGTCATATATGCATTGTATCAGGTACACATTTCTTTGTGAACTGTCAGAGATACAGACCATTGATTTAGGGTGTTTGTTGTTCTGTTGATTTTTTGTTTTGTCAAAAACCCATGCAACAAAATGAGAACAAAACCTTCTGGAACGAACTTATTAAACCACTGTCTTGCAACCATCTATTGTCATTTGTCGGGTTCGTGTTTGTGTCGGATTCATGCCGCTATAAATCTATTTTGAGTCGGATTTGTTTCGATCTATTTTTTGACACGTATAGTGCGTCCATCCATTCACTAACCAAACTCATTAATATTATATTCAAACTAGCTAACTTTGTTTTAATTTCCTATCTGATGCACATATCGTGTCTAGAGTCGTTAGATCTAAATATATTTATATTTATTGTGTCGGATTCATGCAGCTACAAGTGTATTTTGAGTTAGATTTGTTTGGACCCATCTTTTGACAAAGGGTGAAAAATTTCTTATCACTTGAACTAACTGTTAAAGTTAAAAAAAATACAAAAATCATTATAAAGAGTTTGAAAAAGACATCAGACCTAAAAGGCATCAAGTCTGCAATTGTACAAAAAAGGATAGCTGTAATGCTTGACTAAAGTTTCTTATTAGACCTTAGGCAAATGCTTTCACCAGGGAAGGTTATGATAGTAGGAATTTGAAGTTGGACGAATGAATAATCTATTACTCCTAATTATTTCATTGCTCTTATTTTTGATCCCTTCTGTCGAATAAACTATTTGTTTTGGACTATATTATTATATTTTTATATAATTGCAGGTGTAATAGATAAATTGTTATATTCTCTCTATAGAATTTGAATCTCTACTACAAGTTCTTAATCACTTCTTACCTTTTGTAGCACCATATCGCCCACTTGTCCTCTGTAATGTATTGTAAGTGATCCAAATCTGCCCGGAGCAAGCCCAGCATAGAGGCAAGTGAAGTTGGTGAGCCGTATGATGTGCAACTATCTCCTGCGATTCGGAGAGGACTCAGCTGTTAGTTAGTCTCCTATTGATTTTGAGGTGGACCATGTATAAATTAAATTTTAAAGATATTGTAAGGTGCAAAAGTGTAATTAAATTACAACGTTTGCCATGACAACGCTTGCCATTACAAGTATGACCAGTGTCTACAATTAGGCGGCGGAGTTAATAGGAAGAAAAGGACAAAAGTTGTTGTTTACCATTTCAGTAAGGTAGTTGAAAATTGCTCTTTTCAGAAAAATATAACTACTTTTCTTTCAAAAATCTGTGTGGTCACCGAATATTCCTTGTACAGATATGCACGTGCATAGCCATGGGAACCGGTCCCCGCTTTTAATGGAAGTCGCTGCAAGAAAATCATGTGTCGTTAAATCAAAAGGCGGCCCCGTTGTGGTCCCTATTGTTTGATTCAGATCACTTCAGAGGAGCACATCTTGATTTACTGCTATTTTATGTTTAGATTATCTTTACTCCACTCACTACCATTTTTTAAATTGAATTATTTTATAAATATTAATTAAAAAATATTAAAATTCTAAAAAAATAAAAAATTACATAATTTTGTACGTGATGTATTCTTATTAGTTGAAAAATATAGATACAAAATTTAAAAAAAGTTTTCCAGTGTTATAATAAAATTCATATTATAAACTTGAATAAAACAATTTGTTAAGTGACATACGTAATGAAAAGAAAGTAATGAAAGGACATAATCTTTTACATGTTTGCCCAAGAAAATATTCATGTACTTATCCATATGAATGAAAGGACATGGTGTACTTACCTATATGTGATATATAAAATACATAATATACCAATAAGTTTTTCTTTGGAAATTCATGATTTTTTAATTTTAATTTCTTGTTCTAATCATTGTTATCGGTCAATTTATTCTGCTTGAAACTTGGTGGGGACAAATTGCAGCATTTCAAATAATATAGAATTGACTGCAATAAGAGGCATTGCATTTAAAATCAGCTCAGTCTCGCAAGCATGAGATCGAAGTTGATCTCCTCTCTCTCTCTCTCTCTCTCTCTCTTACGTTCCACTGGGCATTAGAGTATCGTAGATGTCATTTCTTTCTCATTAATTAGGTGTAAATCTAATTTATAGTTTATTAA